CACCCCCCGCCCCGCTCATCAGCCCAGACTTCCATTGCCCTATGTGCCTATGTGGTAGTGAGGATGAGGCTGCTGCTTGCTTAGGGCTTGGTGGGCTCCAGGGAGCTGCCTCAGAGGCGATGAGGACTAACTCTTCAACTCCTTACCCAGGTGGACATCGAGCTGCTGGATCCCCGTGGCCGGACACCCCTGCACCTGGCCACCACCCTGGGCCACCTCGAGTGTGCCCGTGTGCTCCTGGCGCACGGTGCAGATGTGGGCAGGGAGAATCGCAGCGGCTGGACAGGTGGGCACCCTTGCTCCCCCAAGCCCCACAGCCAGGCCTTCCAGCATGTGCTTGCCTCCCGGGTGGCCGAAAGGAGCCGGAAGCAGGCTTCAGCCCTATGATATTGCCTCCTGCTCCCCAGTGCTTCAGGAGGCTGTGAGCACCCGGGACTTAGAGCTGGTGCAGCTGGTGCTGCGATACCGGGACTACCAGCGTGTGGTAAAGCGGCTGGCAGGCATCCCCGTGCTCCTGGAGAAACTGCGCAAGGTGAGCCCCGCCTCTCCACTTCCCCATCATTGCTCTCAACCCCGGCTTCCAGCACAAGTCAGCACACTCTCTTTCTCTTCTAGGCCCAGGACTTCTACGTGGAGATGAAATGGGAGTTCACTAGCTGGGGTAAGAGGGGCTGAAGGGCCCTCTCTGGGTGTTTCCCACCTCGGCTCTGCCCTCGCCCTTGCTGTGCTTGGAGCATTCTCCTAGCGCTTCACGTGGCTCCTGCTCTCACTTCAGCCCTCAGCTCCTGGGCCACCCGCCCAGCTCAGCCTCTCCAGACTGTCCAGCCCATTGTCTCCCTTCTTCTGCGCTGACTGCCTTCTTTGTTTGTGTGTGACCTGTCACCCCTGCTGCATCTAGATAAGCTCTAAGAGGGCAGGGGCTCTCTCTTGGTTCACTTTATTCCCAGTGACTGGAATAGGGCCTGGCACATACTGGGTGTCCCATAAAGAGTGACTAGTACAATGGACGAAAGGTTGAGTGAGTGGGTTAATAAACTGTGGCACTGGGCACTCAGTGGTGACTGAGACTCCCTGTCTCTGGACTCAGCTCACTCACAGAGGAGCAGGGGTGTTGTTGGTGTGTATGTGAGGGCCTGCTCGCCCACCAGTGTCTCCTTCTTCTCTGGCCCCAGCACTGACGCCCACCCCTATGCCCTTAGCAGCCCAGGCTGAGCGGGCCAGGCAAATCAAAGCCACCTCTGACCTCCCCTTCCACCCAGTACCCCTGGTGTCCAAGATCTGCCCTAGTGACACCTACAAAGTGTGGAAGAGCGGGCAGAACCTGCGGGTAGACACCACGCTCCTGGGCTTTGACCACATGACGTGGCAGCGAGGGAACCGCAGCTTCGTCTTCAGGGGCCAAGGTCAGCCAGGCAGGAAGTGGAGCAGGGTGAGGGTGGGGGTGGGGCGATGGGAGAGAGCCTCACAGCACCCCTGACCCCTGGCGCTGCCCTGTGGTTGGCAGACACAAGTGCCATTGTCATGGAGATTGACCACGACCGCCGAGTGGTGTACACAGAGACCCTGGCGCTGGCCGGGCAGGACCGAGAGCTGCTGCTAGCTGCTGCCCAGCCCACTGAGGAGCAGGTGCTGAGCAGACTCACCGCGCCCGTGGTCACCACACAGCTGGACACCAAGAACATCTCCTTTGAGAGGTGAGTGGTCAGCTTGGTGCCAGCCTGGCGGGGTGCCTGCCTCACCCCCTCACCCCGGCTGCTCTCTCCCCAGGAATAAGACCGGCATCCTGGGCTGGCGCAGTGAAAAGACTGAGATGGTGAATGGGTATGAAGCCAAGGTGAGGCCCAGCGCGCGCACGCACACATACCCTGTGCTGCCAGGCCCAGGCATACCCTTGTCTGCAGCAAGGGGCACAGATGCTTCTCCAGCCAGGCGGGGCGTGGCGTGGCGTGGCGGGGGCGGGGCGCAGGAGTCAGTTGAGGGGGATAGCCAGCATTGATGGGGCACTTCCTGTGTTCATGTTCAAAGCACTGTTCTGACACTACACACACATACACATAGGTCTTTGTACTCGTGCATGCGTGTACACCACAGTACCTACCTACCCTTTGAGGTCGGTATTCCCATTCTCGTCTGATGGATGTTTACTGAGTCCTTTCCGGGGCATCGTAACTCCGCACAGCAGGGATGCTCGGCCCCATTCCATAGCGAGGAAATCTAGAGTTCAGTGACTGGTACAAGGTTCCACAGAGAATGGCAGAGCTGGGGGCGCAAGGATTAAGGAAACGGTGACTGCCACCCTGAGGCCTCTGGGTCACCGAGCACATGGGGATGCTGACACGCCAGTCACCAGTGTGCGGATATCTGTGCACAGGGCTTGCCCCTTGCTCCTGTAGCGGTGCTGCCAGCACCAGAGCCCAGATCACCCCATCCTGTCACCGTCCATTCTTGCATCTGCTTCTCCAGCTAGATTCTGAGCCGCAGGGGAGCAGAGATCGCGTCCAGTGTGGTCCCCATCATGTCCCTCCTACCCGCCCCAGTGCCTGACACACAAACACAAACCCAGCCCACCCCAGTGCTCTCAAATCCATTCAGACTCGAGACCCCGGGGGCAGCAGAACTGTTTCCAGGGCTTCCACAGGTCTCCGAGGCAGATGGCCACAGCTTTCGGCTGTGAAGTACCAACCTCTCGGTTGGCAGCCAAACACTAATCACTGCACCACTAGGACTCCTGCCTGGCACCGGGAGGCTCCTCAGAAAGAAGTGGATGCATGAATGATTTCACCTATCAATTTGCCCAAAGGCCTGGAGCCTGGATGAAGAGCCCCCCCAGGCTCCTTCCTTCTAGGACATGTGAGACTGCCCTTGGAGCAGGGAATGAGGTGAAGTCCAAGTCCATTGTCCATCTGTCCCCCAGGTTTATGGGGCATCCAACGTGGAGCTCATCACCCGGACACGGACAGAGCACCTTTCGGATCAGCACAAGGGCAAGGTCAAAGGTAAAGTGGCAGGGCCAGGTGGGAGGAGGTGTTACAGGACTGAGGACCCAGCTTGGACTCCAGTACCTCCACTGGTATTCCCTCTGTCACTCCAGCAAGAGTGATTTGACTCATCTGGCAAGCTCTATTGATTGGCAATGGCTGCTAGCCCTTGAGTACTGCTAAGAAGACACTTTAAGGCAGTATCTGGGCTCAATGGGAAAGCATTCTGCCATTGATTACTAGTGTCTGCTTGAGGTTTGGGAGAGGAGAGAAATGTCATGCATAGCATTTATTGTGCATTTCAGTTCATAAGCAGAAAGTCAGAGGGCCCTGGCATTGATCCTCTGTGCCTGTTGACCCTATACCTGGCCTTACTCTGAAGTGGAAAGAAACAATTTTTTACACCCCACCCCCCCAAAAAAAAACCTCCTCACTTCCATCTGACTCATGGTGACCCTATTGGGGTCACCCACAGGGTAGAACTTTCCCTGTGGGTTTCTGAGACTGCAAGTCTTTAGAGGAGTAGAAAGCATTATCTTTCTCCTGAGGAGTGGCTGGTGGTTTCAAACTGCTGGCTTTGTAGTTAGCAACCCAACACATAGCTAGGAGAACAAAATGTAGTTGTAAGGTGGATTTTTCACCTGGTGGCACTTTGGGAAGACCCTCCTGGGCCCCAGGCCTACAATTCTTCTGCTGCGCTTGCAACGCCTCTGCCCCCTTGTTGTAAGAGGCCTCTCAAAACCAAAGCCCAAACTCACTGCCGTCAAGTCGATTCCAATTCATGGAGCTCCCGTAGGGCAGAGTATCACTGACCCTGTCAGTTTCCAAGACTAAATCTCTATGGGAATAGGAAGCCTCATCTTTCTCCCACAGACAGCAGGTGGTTTTGAACAGCCGACGTTGGCAGTTAGCAGGCCTACGCGTAACCCACTTTGCCACCAGGGCTCCTCAGGAGTCCTCACTCACTGTCATTGGGTCAATGCTGACTCATAGTGACCCTCTGTGGGTTTCTGAGACTATAACTGTTTACAGGAGTAGAAAGCTCAGTCTCTCAAGGAGCTCCTGGTGGTTTCGAACTGCCGACCATGCTGATCGCAGTCCAATGCATAACTACTACACCACCAGAGCGTCTCAGATGGAGGTGCCTGGGTCTGTGGTGTGTGGGTGAGCAGTTTCCCCATGCCCAAGAACCAGCCTCCTCCCTGAGTCTCAGTGCAGTCCTTTCCTATGAGGTGCCCAAGTGCATGTGGGTCCCTAGTGTCCTCTGAACGGCCCCCTTCTTATAGGTTGTAAGACACCTCTGCAGTCCTTCCTCGGAATTGCTGAGCAGCATGGGACCCCTCAAAATGGGGTGAGTGTGTACCAGGGTGCCCCTGTGTGGAGGGGTATGGCTGTGGCTCAAGAGCAGGCCTGGGAGGCATCTGCCCTATGTGGCCCTCCTGCCCACAGTGCCCAAGACAGGGGAGGCAGGGGGAGAGACAGATCAGGGGCCCTGTGGTACGGCATGGCTAAGTGGGCATCAGAGACTGAAACGGGCTCCTGGGCCCTCCCCGTGTGGTACAGACCCTGGTCACTCAGACCCTGAGCCAAGCCAACCCCACCGCCATCACCGCAGAAGAATACTTCAACCCCAGCCTTGAGCTCGGCAGCCGTGACATGGGCCGCCCCATGGAACTGACCACCAAGACACAGAAGTGAGGCCCTGCCGGTGCTGGGGAGGGGTGGGCAGGGCAGGGTCTCCATGAGGTGTGGGAGGTCATGGCTTCCTACAATGCCCCTCACCCCTTGGGATTTGGGGGGGCAGGTTCAAGGCCAAGCTGTGGCTGTGTGAGGAGCACCCCCTGTCCCTGTGTGAGCAGGTGGCTCCCATCATTGACCTCATGGCCGTCAGCAATGCCCTTTTTGCCAAACTCCGGGACTTCATCACCCTGCGCCTGCCTCCTGGCTTCCCGGTCAAGATTGGTGAGACCGGCTTTCCCTAATCTCCCCTCATCCTCTGGTCGTGGTGGGGAGAGAGTGCTTATATGATGCGGGTGGCTGAGGGGTAAGAGGGGCAGTGGCTCCTCATGGTTCCCTCGCCCCTAGAAATCCCCATCTTCCACATCCTCAATGCCCGCATCACCTTTGGGAACCTCAATGGCTGTGATGAGCCGGTGCCCTCCGTGCGAGGCAGCCCGAGCAGCGAGACCCCTTCTCCCGGCAGCGACTCCTCTAGTGTCAGCAGCTCCAGTTCCATGAGTGAGAGAGACCCCGTGCCCCCCTCCGAACCTGCCCTCCACACCCCCAACCAAGCCTGTGCCCTGCCCCTTCTTGGGGGTGGAGCCGCGGTCAGTGGGACCCTGTGGGGTGCCCCATCACTGACCATTAGCCCCCCCCCCACGCCCTCAGCCTCCTGCCGTGGCTGCGAGATCTCCCCAGCGTTGTTTGAGGCCCCTCGAGGCTACAGCGTGCTGGGCGGCCAGCGGGAGGTGGTGGCCCGTGAAGACGACGATGACTTATTGCAGTTCGCCATCCAGCAGAGCCTGCTTGAGGCAGGCAGCGAGTATGACCAGGTGCGTCCTCAAGGCTGCGCTGCCTGGGGCTGTGGTGCCACCACAGCTCACTGGCCCTTGTCCCTTCCCTTAGGTCACCATCTGGGAGGCACTAACCAACAGCAAGCCGGGCACACACCCTATGTCCTACGATGGTCGGCGACAGGACAGGTCGGTGCCTGGCAGGCCAAAGGCAGAGTCAGTCAGTGCCTGTCTGTCCACATGCAGACACAGGGACACACACACAGCGCTCTCACCCACCGTCCTGTGCTCGCCCACACCCCATCAAACTGCTTTCACCATGGGCACTGCTGGCATCAGATGGCTTCACCCAGCACCCTTTCCTGGCTCTGGGGCAGCACCCTGCCTGTGGGCAGGGAGCAGGGTCCAGGCCCCACCGACTGTGGGATCTCATGCTCTCTGCGGCCATGGAGGGGGAGGATAAGTTTGATGGAAGTTGGGACCCACTGTCATGGGCAGACACCAGGGAGGTGACTGGGAGCGCATGGCATCTGACTGAGGGAGGCCTGTTCAGCTCTGCTCCCAAGTCCTCATGCTGCCTCTGGGTCCCACCTACAGGAATCTGTGCCCTGCAGCCTTTGACGATCTTCTTGTCGCCAGGAGCGCTCCACCCACGCCGCAGCGCCAGCCCGGGCCTCCCGCATCGGTCCCCAGCCCTCGGCCCAGTCCAGGCCCAGGTCGCGGCAGCCACGTGTTCCAGAGCTACGACGAGCAACTGCGGCTGGCCATGGAGCTGTCTGCGCAGGAGCAGGAGGAGCGGCGGCGGCGCGCGCGCCTCGAGGAGGAGGAGCTGGAGCGCATCTTGCGGCTCTCACTCACCGAGCAGTAGCGCCCCTGCCGGCCCTTCAGCCACGCCACCAGGGACCCGCCGAAGGCCCCCCAGCAGAGAGACGCTGGGCTCGAGACTGGAGTCACCGCTGAGGGGTGCCAAGGCACACCTGGCATCAGACACAGAGTGGTTCAGCAGGCGCAGGGCACCTTTCTGGGCCAGAGCCCTGGAGGCAGCTGGCACGTCAGGTCCCCTGCTTAGCTGTATCTGACCTCCCACCTCTCGTCCTCCCCTGGGCACAGACTGATCTAAGGACGCAGTCTGCCATTCCTGAGGGGGAGCGGACCCTCAGGGGAGCAGAGCCCCCAGCCCTTCTCCTTCCGGCCGGCCTTCCATTCTGCTCACTGATCCCTCTCTGGGACACTGCCCCTGAAGCCTTTGCATCTCCGCTCTTCACCCCTGGGGGGGCAGCTGAGCTCCCCACTGCGTGCTGTGTCGCTGCTCTGTCCCAGACACAAGCCAGCACGCCAGGGTCCAGCCCCTCCCCACCCAGGCATTTCAGCGTCAAGTGCACTTAGCGGGGTGCCCGGCTCCCCCCCCACCCCCTCCTGGGTCTCAGGGTGGCACCAGCCTTTCCGCGGGTGGCCAGAAGTTGGAGACCCTTTCTTCAGGCACACTTTTGTGATCAGGGAGGGTGTCCAAGTGGCTCCCTGACCTGGATAAGACCTGGCTCCCTGAAGGTGTCTTGGGAAGCAGGGCATGTTGGACTGGGGCGCAGACATAGACTGGACACAGGGGGCGCCCAGGGCCCTGGCACCACCACCGTCCTCCCCTTCCCACCAGCTGCTGCTAGCCCTGTGTGGTTGTGCGCCCACTTGCCTCACCCAGGGCTGACTCTAAACCCCGTTATCCAATGGTGCTACCCCCTGGCGGCTCTCCTCTGCCCCACCTCCCCCCAGAGAAGCACAGATCCCGCTAGGGGCACGGCACACCCTGCCCACGTTCTCCGAGTGACCTTCTGGGTTCGGCCAGTGAGGCTCAGAAGGGACACAAAAAGAAAGAGAGAAAACAAAAGCAACAAAGAGAAATTCCCCTCACCCCCTTCCTTGATGCCAGGGGCACCAGATGTGATTCCGAGGCACAGATAAAAGAGGCTTCGAACCCGCTGTGACCCTAACTGGCTTTACTGGGGACAAAGGCCCTGCTAGGGACCTTCTGAACCTCTCTGGAGGTGGGGGAGATCTAGGGAAGAGGCTGCAAGCCCAGGACTGCATTTGCCAGAGTCCCCATGGCAGAGGTTGGGGGTCTTGCCCTCTTTATGCCCTCCTCCCCAGCCCCCCGCCCACAGGGGGCACAGAGAACACTTGGCCAAATAGTTCATTCAACACTTGTTTTCCTCAGCGCCAGGACCACAGCAGAGGACGTGTGTGACACACTTCCTCATGACATTCCTCCCGCGGGGAGGTGCCGCCCTCTGCCCTGCCCCTGGGAAGAAAGGAGGCCCCTGGCCATAGACCATTGGGGGCAGCTAGTGGGTTTCAGCTGTGAAACCAGCGGGTTATGTCCATCTCTGTACAACTGGGTGACGCCCGTCCAGCGATGGGGTTAAGGAGCTGATCAGAGGGGGAAGCGCTGAATCTCCACCCGGTAAGGGAAGCCCAGTCCCAGCGCCTCAATAATAAGCAATTCCCCAGCCCAGGACGGAGGCGGAGGGGGTTGGGGGTGGGGTGTGCAGAGAGGGACACCGCCTCACTATGCAGCACCGTTGCTTTGGCCCCCTTGTTTCCCTGCCCCCCTCCCGAGCCTCCCTAGGCCAGCTCTTGCGTAGTCCCCAAGAGGAACGAGGAGCGCTGGCCTGCCTGAGTCAGATACACGTGGATCAGCCGCGACTTTCCACTGTCCTCACTCCCCGGCGCAGCCCGGGCCCAGGGGGCGAGGCCTAGAGGCCCCGATCCAAGCCGGGGTGGGGCGGAGCCGGGCGCCAGCCCCGCCCCGCCGCCCTGCGGGGCGCCTGTGGCCACGCTGCGCTAGTCGGTGCCGTCCACCAACTCCACCAGCATGTTTTCCAACGCCGTGATGCGCTGCTCCTGGGCCTGCACGCGCTCGCGCAGGGCCTTGATCTCCTCCAGCAATGTCTCCACTGTGTGCTGCTGCTGGGGCGCGGGGGACAAGAAGAGGAGGCGGTGTCGGGGCCGAGGCAGGAGGGGAACGTGTAGCCAGGGCCTGGATCAGGTGGGGGGGGGACGGGGGACGCGGTGTCTCACCGAGAGCGGGGCGTCGCTGGCCGACTGGCTGCGGCGGGGCCCGGAGGGTGGGCGGACGTCTAGGATGTTGCGCTTGGTGACCCGGAGCTCGCGGTGCTTGGGGGGCACGTAGCCGTCCCGCAGCGAGATCAACACTGGCTCGGCGTCCTGGCCCGACACCCACTCGTCGGCTTCTAAGGCCGGCTCCGGACCCGGCGTGTCCGGGTACAGGTCGTCCTGGAAGAGGTCTGACTGCGGGGGGGCCGGGGGAAGGGTGGGTAGACACGTGTGAGTGGGGCGCCCGGACTGCGCTCCCCTCCTTCTCGGAGCGGGGCCCAGCCTCACCTTGCGAGGCACGGTCATGATGATAGGTTCGCACTTCCGTTCGTGCAGCTTGTAGAACCTGTACGGAACGGGGCTCGGTACTCCCACAGGCCCCCTTCCTCCCCTCTCCTCTCTCCTGCCTGGAATCAAGGACCGGGAGGCCACCCCCTCCAATGGGACGTGTAGCCTCATTTTACAGATGAGGAAACTGAGGTCAAAGAATGTCAAGCTGGTGACATTAAACTGTTAGGCACCGCGCTAAGGCCTGTGGGAGTGGGTGCCGGGGCAGGCGGGCTCACCGGGCGATCTCGCACTTGCTGACGTCCAGACCCCGCTTGGGCATGAACCCCATGCCCCGCTGCGGCTCCTTGCTGCTGAACGTGTTCAGGTAGTGCACGAAGGGCGCCTCATCCGTGATCTCAAAGTACCGAATGCTGCTGTCGCCCTGCAGAACCAACTGCTTGGCTCCCAGGTGCACCTGGCCAAGACTCTCCCCCACTCCCCACCTGGGCCCTGCCACTCCACCCCCCACCCCGTGGCCCTCCCAAGCACCTTGCCACACAGGTAGACGATGCTGGAGTCGGGGTCGTAGAAGGGCAGTAGGACCCCGTTGCTTGTATCCATCTCTTGAAGTGCCACAGGCTCCTCAAAGTTATTCTGCCCAAGCACAGGAGGCGTGACCAGCGCTGCCCCCGCCCCTGCCCCCTCAGCGCCAGTGGGGACTCTCAGAAGCCCTGTTACCCTTTCTCTTCTCCGCAAACCCCATGCATGCCCCCCTAGAGCTGCCGCCCCCCACCCCCAAGCCTTGCCTCCTCCCACCAGCGCACACCCCCAGCCCCCACCGCGCTGTCTCATGCAGTCACAGCAAACCACCCCCAGGGACTCGGCATCACCAGGTGGGGGCGCCTGCATGGGCTTCTTCAGGCGACGCTGCAAAACTGGGCAGAGGGGTGGGGGTGGCAATGGTCCAGGTGGGGATGCCCTTTGTGGGTGGGCGGGGGCGGGGCGGAGGGCGCCTGTCTTTCTCTCGTGATGCCAGTCCCCTGGGCACACACCCCAACCTCCAGCTGCGTTACCGGGTCCCACAGGCCCAGCTCTCGCTGGCTCATGCGGGTGAAGCCCGTGGTGAAGATGTGGCCCTGCCGTGTGAAGACAGCCCTCATGGGCCTCATCCCCTCGTGGGCAGCAAATCTCTCCTGGGGAGGGGGCGGGGACATAGGGAAGGGTGTCAAGGCTGCCTGCGTCCTTCGGGGACTTGGGAGGGATGGCCCAGCACACTCTTGCTGACTTGGATGTACGGGTGACTCCTATGTGTGTATTAGGGTCGAGGGGGGCGCTTACGGGGAGACAGAAAGCGGCCTAAAGTACTCAACTGCGCGGGGGGCCAGGGCTGGCCCCGTGCCTGGAGGTGGTCAGGGCCCGGAAAGAGCCCGTGAGCGCCCCCAACGCCCGGGCCCTAGGGCAGGGGGTCCGGGCTCCCCGTGGGGAGCTCCCCGCTCCGCTTCGGCCCTCTGGGCGCGGGTCTGGAAGACGCTCCAGGCCGACCCCGCGAAGCAGCGGCGAGCGCGCCCCGCCGGCCTGGCCTACCGGGTCCCAGAGCGCGAGTTGCCGCTCACTCATCCTGCTGAAGCCGGTGCTGAGCAGCTTCCCGTCCGCGGTGAAGACGGCCCGCAGCGGGCGGGCGCCCTCGTGAGGCCGGGCTCGCTCCTGCTCGCAGGGTTAAGGGGTTAGAGGGCCCCCGCTGCCCCCCACCCCC